ACACCTCATCCCCCTTGATTTCCAGGATCTGAAAAATATAATTATGCGACAACCCTGTCTCCTTACCACCAGAGAAAACCTTGAACTTTGACGCAGATTTTCTTCTTGGTTACTCATATTGTTCAACAGAATGGTATCTCTCCATGCACTCAGGATGTATGGCCGGTTTATCACAGCAGGTGCCACAAATATATGATGTTTCATTCCGATATTCCTGACTTAACTTCCTATCACTGCAAACTTTACATTCGGCTGGTTTTGTAGCTTTGGCACAAAAATGTGGGTTGCCATCAAGTCTCTGTAAATCATTTACAACCCGAACATTTTTATTTATTGGAATACCAAGGCTATTGACCAAAGAAATGCGGAAATCTTTTGTTGACATAACATCTGATTCACCTTCAGATTTGTACAATATATAAGCATTAACAATCGAGACTTCAAGAAGATGAAAAAATATTTTTCTCCACCATTTTAGAGAAGACCTCAAAACGATAATATGTACATAATTGGTCATTGACGTCAACCCCATTCATGTGCTTGTCAGGGAATATTTTAACCGGGTTCGTATCGCAATTTGAGACTCAAACGTCCGATTTTGCGAATCAAATTCATATCTGATTAGCATTATTAGCATAAAACCCTGCTTCAGCGCGAATCAAAGTTTTGAAAATTAATTTTAACTTTAAAACCATTCAGTATCGTAAAACACATCAAAACAAATCTCAAATCTCGCAATTTTATTGTCTATATCAAGACTCTTTACGTGCCTCTGCAATGGTCCAGTGGAATGACAGCGGTACATGTTTGTCGTCTGCTATTTATAGACGTAAAAGGTTTTGATGATAGAGATTACAAATTACTTGCTACAACACTACATACTTTCTATATCTGTGGTAGTCACAGTCGTCAAGACAAACATTCAAAACACTACAAGATAAAATTACCGGATGATCGAGGGTACGTTGCGAAATTCAAGATGGCAAGTAGAGCTGCAACGATTCAGTTCGGTGCACCGATAACCGACACTAGCCGTCTCGGTTCGATCCACGATCTACAATGTTCAAATTTCGATTCGGTTCAATTGCAAATTAAATTTCAAATAAAAACAATGTACACCTTACCATATGATAAAAAATGAAAGACCTGTTTAAAAAAACTTTGTTTTTACGTAACTTTTAATTTACATTATTTGGACACAGATCACTAAAGATTTCCCCCATTGACTCCAATGTTAATTCTCGTATCTTAGACCGACTCTAACTTTTTCCCAAATTTTCGTTGGGTAGAACGCTTTCTACCACAGATGGAGCAACATGTGGCAACCACTTGCCCAAAAGCACGTATGAGGTTCTTCATGAAAAACTTGAGATACACAAGCTGGAAGTAGAGACAAGTAAACATGCAATTTCAGGCCCTACATTTCAACCTAACCAACCTCTCAACTCATGTATCCTTCCGCATCAAAATTATGAATATTCACCAAAACCTGGCAGAAAATGTATTTTCAAACCCTTTCCCTCGATTCTACACCAAAAAGTCAACAAAAATCGCCATGCAAAAGGGAGGAAAAGGGAGAGGAAGACTAAAAATAGCTTTGGCCCTTGTTTGGGTGACGGCATAGGAATATTTGGTGATCGGTGTCCATTTAACAACACACGAATGTCACTCGAAAACATTACTAAAACAGAGTGGCCTCCCTTTAAAACAATTTCCGTATGCTCACGAAAGTTAATTTATTTAAAATTGGTGACCTACCGAATGTTCATTGGATGTTAATTTAGGTCAATAGCTTTGGTAATCGTTATATAAATTCTAAATGATCTCATTAGCTGATAATTCCGGTCATTATCTTCGGATATTTTTGTGTTTAGTGTAGTCAAGCAAACGCGGGATGGTAAAATTATGGCAGACAACGTACTTTCTTGACCACCTGGTCATTTGAAATCTAAAGTTTGGGATTATTTTGGTGTAAGAAAAAACTCTAAAGATGTGGCAACTTGTAGAGTATGCTACACTGACATATCCCATAAAACAGGAAAACAACAAACCTGTCAAACCATCTCAAAAGAAAGCACAGTCTCGATGTCAGCGTGAGTGGGCAGTCTAACTCTAAAACTAAAAAAGTGTTCAAGAGAATTTTAGTCTTGTGTTTTTATTGTTTTTAATGAATTATATACAGGAAAAATTACTGGTTATTGTAGCTGATAATCGAATCGAAAATAATCGAATCGAATGGTTAAAATCGATAATCGAACCAAATCGAGGTAGTTGGGAATCGTTGCAGCCCTAATGGCAAGTCAAACACATGATAATGTTCTGTCTTCAAATTCGACATCAAAATTAGCAACAGTTCAAGATTGGGTGAGGAAATATGACCCAGAAAAGATCTGGCTAAGTAAATAAAGAATGTCCAGGTTTTGTACTAAGAATAACATAAAACATTCACATACTTTTTATTTTATATATAAATATAAACAACAGTTTGATAAACAACAGTTTGGTAATACAAATAATATGGGTATTGTTATTATTGTCACATAATTATGTGAAATAAGAATTCTATAACATACTAAAAAACTGCTAATCAATTGGTAAATTTTGCTACTCAATTATACAATTGATTAGCATTCTTACACAATTTTTCTGGAAACTGCTTATCAAATGTAAAAAAGTAAAATATTCCCTGATGCTTGTTGTAATCTGCTATACACTTCGGTTTATTTCTAGCGTCATGATTTGGATTTTTATACGCTCACATGGAAATGTGGTCGTATATTGCCGTCGGTCTGTCGGTCCGTCGTCCACAATTTCTTGTGAACACTCTATAGACTACATTTATCATCTGATTGTTTTGAAATTGATATGTGTTGTTTGCATTAGTGAGATGAATAAGCCTATTTAATTTCAATAACTTCCGTTAATTTTGTCTGGATTTATGGCTCTTGTTTCACTTTGTTGCACCTTGTGAACGCTCTAACGACAAAAGTTATCAACCGATCTGTATGAAATTTATATGCATCATTTAATTTAGTAAAACAAAGAAGCCTATTAAATTCCAGCAATTTCCGTTAATTACATCTAGAGTTATGGCCCTTGTTTCACTTTGTTGAATCTTGTGAACGCTCTCATGACAAGTTATCATCCGATCTGTTTGAAATTAATATGCATCATTTAAATTAGTGAAATGAAGAAGCCTATTGAATTTGGCCCTTGTTTCACTTTATTGTACCTTGTTTATGCTCTAACAACCAAAGTTATTATCCGATCTGTATGAAATTTATATGCATCATTTAGATTAGTAAAACAAAGAAGCTTATTGAATTTCATTAATTTCCATTAATTAAATCTAGAGTTATGGCCCTTGTTTCACTTTGTTGAATCTTTTGAATGCTCTGACAACAGTTATCATCCAATCTGTTTGAAATTGATATGCATCATTTAAATTAGTGCAACGAAGATGCCTATTGAATTTCAGCAATTTCCGTTAATTACACCGTGAGTAATGGCCCTTTTTTATTTGCCCACATTTTCATGTGGATGTATTCTGCCGTCGCCCCTGTCCGTCCGACCGACCACAATTTGTTTGTGGACACTCTAGAGGTCACAATTCTTATCCGATTTTGACGAAACTCAAAATATAGGTTATCTCCAAAAGATCTTGGCTACTTTCGATATTGGCATGTATCGGATCGAAACTTCATGGATTATGGTCCCTGTTTGTACGAAAAATCACATTTTTAGCTTGTGGACCCTATAGAGATCACAATTTTTATCCGATTTTGTTGAAACTTGAAATGTAAGTTTATAACCCAAAGATCTTGGTTCCTTTCGTTATTCGCGCAGATCGGACCATAATTTCCTGAATTATGGCCCCTGAATGTACGAAAAATCACGTTTTTAGCTTGTGGACCCTATAGAGGTCATAATTTTTATCCGATTTAAAAACCTGTATTATTATATCACCGTTACACCCTAAGGACTACTGAGTTCGAATTTTGTGAAAATCTGTCCAAAATTGACAAAATGGCCACCGTCTGTCTCAAATAGCGTAAGAATATGGTACATCAAGGTTGTGGACCCTATAGAGGTCACAATTTTTATCCGATTTTGTTGAAACTTGAAATGTAAGTTTATAACCCAAGGATCTCGATTCCTTTTGCGCATATCGGACCGTTACTTCCTGAATTATGGCCCCTGATTGTACGAAAAATCACGTTTTTAGCTTGTGGTCATAATTTTTATCCGATTTAAAAAGACGTATTATATCATCGTTACACCCTAAGTACGGCTGAGTTCGAATTTCGTTAAAATTGACAGACAAAATGGTCGCCGTTCTTTCTCAAATAGTGTAAAAATGTGGTATATCAAGGTTGTGGACCCTATAGAGGTCACAATTTTTATCCGATTAACTTGAAATGTAAGTTTGTAACCCAAAGATCTCGGTTCCTTTCAATATTCGCGCATATCAGACCGTAACTTCCTGAATTATGGCCACTGATTGTACAAAAAATCGCTTTCTTTTTAGCTTGTTCTCTATCCATCTCTCGAAAATGTGGGCCTGTCCTGCCAGGCAGCCGCTGGTTGAATATTTTATGGACCTCAGTCAGATGAACGTAAAAAAAAAATCAACAGGGGAGTGTCAAATGGTTTTAAATGATCATTTGAACAATTATGTATTTCATTAAGTCAGCATTCTTCATTTCTTTGCCTGTAATACTGGCAATCATGGAATGAAAAGGTTCAGATTTCCATGTCACAATTTTGCAGGTTGAAAATAACGAATTTTGACAATTGTTGATAAAAAAATAAAAAAAAATATTCACTGAACCAGTTTTATTTATAATATTACAGCAGGTATTGGTGCATGGATTGAAAGTAATGTAATATTTGAAATTTCAAAATTTTAATTATAAATCGAATTTATATTAAAGCATTCGGAAAGTGCCCAATACTGAAAAGTGACCCATAAGATTAGAATTTTAATTGTTTGATTTCAGATGCTAAAAGATTAATAGGCAGAAGATTTGATGATGGTCATGTTCAATCTGATATGAAGCATTGGCCATTTAAAGTTATCAACGAAGGTACCAAACCAAAAATATCAGTCTCGTATAAAGGGGAGGAAAAGACCTTCGCAGCAGAAGAAATATCATCCATGGTTCTAACTAAAATGAGGGAAACGGCAGAACAATATTTAGGAAAGGTGTGTCAAGAATTTACATCAGGGCTTAATTACATCTTCAATAGAAGGCTTGATCTCGCTTTAACTAAGTACATCTTATCAAGGCCTTCACTAATACCCTGCATATTTCGGCACTAATTTCGATTGGGTACAAGTCCATCTTGTGAGCCTATCAGATTCATTGATCGTCATGAATGCCAATCTCCCGCTTTCAAGCTAAAATGTCTGTGATAATCGATTTGCAAAGTTCAATGTCGTTTGATGTCAAGTTTTCCGTGGAGGTTACAGGTGGCTATTTCACAACCTCCGATTGGACTCTACTTCTCATCTGTCTGTAGATAACGTAGCTCCAAGTTTGGGAATTGTGAAGTAATCTAGTAAGTCAGATGTTGTAAAACTCGCAGCCATTGCTTCCAGAACTGGGCAGAGCTAAGGCCATTTTCGTTTTGTGTGTCTGTGTCGCCTACAGGCCACAATTCTTAAGTGATCACCGTCGCCTACAGGCCACAATTCTTAAGTGATCATCTTGAAACTTTACATACAGTAAACCTCGCAGAAGTCCGATCTTTGCTGAACTCGGATAAAATCCTGCACGATTTTTATGTCATGTGGACGTAATTGTCCTCGCCCCTGTCCGTCCATCCATCCGTCCACAATTGTTTCTAAACACTCTTCAGGTCACATTTTTTATCTGATTTCAATGAAACTTGAAATATAGGTTTATCACCCTAAGATCTCGGTTCCTTTCCATTTGGCATGTATCGGACTGTAACTTCATGGATTATGGCCCCTGATTGTACGAAAAAATTGCGTTTTTAGCTTGTGAATGCTGTAGAGGTCACAAATTTTATCCAATTTGGTTTAAACTTGAAATGTATATTTATAACCCACAGATCTCGGTTCCTTTGGCGTTCCTGAATTATGGCCCCTGATTAACGCTGTAGAGGTCACAATTTTTATCCGATTTGGTTTAAACTTGAAATGTATGTTTATAACCCACAGGTCTCGGTTCCTTTCGCGTTCCTGAATTATGGCGCAGGTTGTACAAAAAATTGAGTTTGTCGTCGCCCCTGTATTATAAATGGTTAATTACCGAAAAAAGGAAAAATATGCGACAACTCTTGTTGACTGCCCAGACGATATAGCTGCTGTGGGCGTATGTTTCGGGTCCACAAGCTAAAAAGCGATTTTCATGTGGACGTATATTGTCATCGTCCCTGTCCGGACGTCCGTCCACAATTGTTTGTGAACAGTCTACACTGTAAAACTTGTATCGTTTAATAAGGGGTTTTTAGTGCTAAAAACTATGCATAAAGTTTAGCAAATACATCAAAAATCGGTAAATCATGCCCGAGGTATTTATACATTTGGTGAATATAAAAAAAAGAGCACATCCATAGATGCTCGCTTTACCGTGGTTGTAGTATTGTTATCCATTCAAAATAGTTATTCCGCCATTGACAAATACATCAAAAATCGGTAAATCACGTCCTAGGTAATTATACTTTGGTTCCTTTCGATAATCGCGCATATCAGACAGTAACTTCCTGAATTATGACCCCTGATTGTACGAAAAATCGTGTTTTTAGCTTGTGGACCCTATAGAGGTCACAATGTTTATCCGATTTTAAAGAAACTTGAAATGTAAGTTTATAACCCAAAGATAGGGTGACCCACCATAAATAAATATCTCCATATATCTCCATATATCTCGACAATTACGCCACAATATTTATATATATGCCAAGCCTCAAATCAGTTTCACACAATTATAGTCACTAAATAAACGATCATGTTGTACTTAATAAGCTATGACCATTAATCATCTATAAATAATAGACTGAAAACTGGTTCCAAGTGTCGTCCATAACATCCAGACACTTTTGAGTAAAAGATAGGTTACGTGCCCTTGTTTTGAAATTAGTCTCGCTTAACCAGTCTATTGACCATTCTACGTCTGATTGACAGGTCGTGATAATCAAGACTACTTTTTTACGAAACATAACAGAAAGCTAGAACAAGAAATTGAATTTAGAAATAAGCACGTTAGGTAGCTCAACAATCGTTTTAAGAAGCTTGTAAAAGTAAAATGAAACTACTGCTAGTATCATGTTCCTGTCTAACCCGAGTGATTCAGAGATATTATTTGTACTAAACCAAAAGATGCCGCTCTTAACGGTACAGTTAATGATAAAGCGATTTAAAAAATGAAACGAACGTAATTTCTAAATCTGCTGTAATAACCAAGAAGCTTAATTTCACTGCTATTCAAAATCGTCAACAATAAATTTTTTACGGCTGTAATAGTTGATAGATTTGTAGAGAATTGCACGTGCCATGGTTATTTATAGTATCATACTGTCAGAAAGTTGGTCTCGGCACGGCGAATGTGGACTTTATTTCTGTAGAGCACATGGGCCACCCTACCAAAGATCTCGGTTCCTTTCAATATTTGCGCATATCGAATTGTAATTTCCTGAATTATGGCCCTTGATTGTAGGACAAATCACTTTCTTTTTAGCTTGTTCTCTATCCATCTCTCAAATGTGGGTGTATCCTGCCTGGCAGCCGCTGGTTCATACAATCAGGGGCCATAATTCAGGAACTTACGGTCCGATGTGCGCGAATATGGAAAGAGACCAAGATCTTTGGGTTATAAACTTACATTTCAAGTTTCATCAAAATCCGAAGAAAATTGTGACCTCTAGTGAGTCCACAACCTTGATCTATACTAATATTTGGGACTGTTGTCTGTCCGTGGGGTTGGCGGCTACACTAGGTCTGCTCCGAGTCTGAAATTTGGGGTATAGGGGACGCTCAGACCGGCGTTAGTCTACCACTTCCTGTTTTGGGGTTATGACCCCCGAGCGAAGCCGGGCAGTTCGGGGTTGGCGGCTACACTAGGTCTGCCCCGAGTCTGAAATTTGGGGTATGGGGGTAGCTCTGACCGGGGAGTAACATAGGCCAGGTGGCGTTAGTCTACCACTTCCGGTTTCGGGGTTATGACCCCCGAGCGAAGCCGGGCATTCTGCTAGTATATCATATTTTTACGCTATTTGAGTACGAGGGCGGCCATTTTGTCTGTCAGTTTTGTTCCAATTTTTATGAAATTCGAACTCGACCATCCTTAGGGCGTAACAGTGATATATTCAAACGTTTTAAATCGCATAAAAATTATGAACGCTATAGGGTCCACAAGCTAAAAACGGGATTTTTTGTGTACTTGGGGGTGCATTTTAATTTATCTAGTTCTAATACTTCATAATGCTATAAGCTGGTGTCAAGCAGATGAAAACAAGCGTCAATGGTGTGGAAACTGGCTACTTGAACTTCCAAACTGTGTGAGTAATTGTAGCCTACGCCAGAGCGAAATGTAAACAGTGCAATTGGTTTCAAGAAAATCGGACTAAAATTGCCAGACAAAATTCTCTAGAGGTCATATTGGTTTTTCCGATTTTAAGAACCGTTTAATATATCTCCATGAACGTTGAATTCGAATTTCGGGAAAATTAAAATGAAACTGCCCACCAAAAGGGCTGCTCTTTGTACGCAAATTGTGTAAAAGTATGTAATACAAGGGTTGTGGGCCCTCTAGAGGTCACAATTTTTATACGATTTTGATGAAACTTTAAATGTATGTTCATAACCCAAAGATCTCAGTTCCTTTCGATATTCGTGCATATCTTCCTGGATTAGGGCTCCTGATTGTAGCTCATTCTGACCATTTCTTACAAAATTTGTGTATCTTGCATGGCAACCACTTAACTAATTTTGTTAAAATTTGAAATGTAAGTTTATAACCCAAAGATCTTGGTTCCTTTCAATATTGGCGCATATCGGACCGTAACTTCCTGAATTATGGCCCCTGATTGTACGAAAAATCACATTTTTTAGCTTGTGGATCCTATGAAGGTCAAAATTTTATTCTGATTTAAAAAAAACGTTTGAATATATCACCGTTACACCTTAATGACGGTTATGTTTGAATTTGTGAAAATCGGACCAAAATGGTGCCCCTCGTATGGAAACAGTGTAAAAATATGGTATATCAAGGTTGTGGACCCTCTCGAGCTAACAAGTATGTAATGTGGGCGTATCTTGCATGGCAACCGTTTGTTAAATATTTAATTATACCTGATTTTTTTTTTCAGAAAGTTTCTGATGCTGTTGTAACTGTACCTGCTTACTTCAACGATTCTCAAAGACAGGCAACTAAAGATGCTGGTACTATTGCTGGTCTAAATGTTTTACGTATTATTAATGAACCAACAGCGGCTGCCATTGCCTATGGTCTAGACAAAAAGGTATGTTGAAGCTTATATACAATTGAATGAGGGGTTTTTTTTTTTTTGGTTTTTTTTAGAAAAATGACCGCAACACTAAAAACCAAAATCGCCAATTTTGACTTTATCATACATTAAATTCAACTTTAAAATCTACTAGGAGTTCATCGATCTTCACTGGTTTGAGGGACCACCATTCTACCGAGTTCTACGTTTCATGAAACCCCTTGTGCATCGCTGAGATCCCAGGTTAGATGTCCTCCAGCTACTAGCTTCCAGCTCCAGCTACTTCTGACTATTCGTACGAGGGTTGTTGTCGTTTTCCTCCGCTAAATAATTAAAAATTCACAAACTTTGACATGTTCATGTGGACGTATATTGTCGTCGCCCCTGTCCGTCTGTCCACAATTGTTTGTGAACAGTCTACAGGTCACAATCTCAATGAAACTTGAAATCTAGGTTTATCACCCTAAGATCTCGGTTCCTTTCGATATTGGCATGTATCGGACTGTAACTTTATGGATTATGGCCCCTGATTGTACGAAAATCGCGTTTTTAGCTTGTGAACCCTATAGAGGTCATAATTTTTATCCGATTTTAGTATATCACTGTTACTCCCCAAGGATGGCCGAGTTCGAGTTGTTGTCGTTTTCCTCCGCTAAATAATTAAAAATTCACAAACTTTGACATGTTCACATAACCTCACTTGTGTATCTCCATTCCTTCTTATTTTATTATACGCCCACATTTTCATGTGGACGTATATTGTCGTCGCCCCTGTCCGTCCGTCCACAATTGTTTGTGAACAGTCTACAGGTCACAATTTTCAATGAAACTTGAAATATAGGTTTATCACCCTAAGATCTCGGTTCCTTTCGATATTGGCATGTATCGGACTGTAACTTTATGGATTATGGCCCCTGATTGTACGAAAAATCGCGTTTTGAGCTTGTGAACCCTATAGAGGTCATAATTTTTATCTGATTTAAAAAAAACATTTTAGTATATCACCGGTACACCCCAAGGATGGCCGAGTTCGAATTTTTCGTGAAAATCGGACAAGAATTGCTGGACAAAATGCCAGCCGTTTGTACGCGAATAATGTAAAATTATGGTATATCAAGTTTGTGGACCCTGCAGAGGTCACAATTTTAATCCAATTTTGAAATGCATGTTTATAAACAAAGATCTTGGGTCCTTTTGCTATTTGCGCATATCGGATCGTAATTTTCTGAATTATAGTCCTTGATTGTACGCAAAATTGTGTTTTTAGCTTGTGGTCCCCCTAGAGCTTACAATTTTTATTCGATTTAAAAAAATCGTTTGAATATATCATTAGACTGTAATCATGGCTGAATTATGGCCCTTAATTGTACGAAAAATCATGGTTTTTTTTAACTTGTGGTCCCTCTAAAGCTCACAATTTTTATCCAATTTAAAAAAAAAAAACGTTTGAATATATCACCGTTACATGGTTAAGTTCGATTTTCCTGAAAATCAGACCAAAACTGACAGACAAAATGGTCACACCTCGTACACAAATAGTGTAAATATATGGTATATCATTTCTTGCAAAATGTGGGCATATCCTACCTGGCAGCCGCTGTTTTTTTGTTTTTTTTTGCCTGTAGTAATAAAGTCGTATCTGGGTCATCTTCTCCGTTTGAGATTAATATTCACATCTTAATTAGCCTTTGATAAAAATCCTAAAAATTCTGATTGGGAATCGCTTTCCATAGCGAAGAAATTAAGAGTGAGTGCAGGGATATTACATTCGACGAAGACTGGCTGCCATTTTGGTACACCTTACATTTCGTATATCTTACGCTTCAAATCTCGGAAAAATCACTATCTGGAACATTGAGATTAATATTCACATGTAAATATCCTTTGATAAAATTCCTTGAAATTCTGAATCAGAATCACTTTCCGCAGCGAAGAAATTATTAGTTGAACGAGCGTGAGAATATTTAATTTGCGTCCAAAATGTCGCCCTATGACACACATTTTCTCACGAGTTCACGACTGTATAACTCTTTAAACCATTGATGTGACGTATAAGTTTTATGATTACAATCATTAGTTCAAACTATACACTTGTTGGATAACTACTTTTGGAAAGCCAATCGTCTTTTTTTTATTATTTTTATAACTTTATTGATCAATGAAACGGTACATCAAAGAGGCCGGCAGCAGTCGTTGAGAACGTATGCTGGTGAAATTCAGTACCAATAGCTAATTAGGTTGACGCCTGGCGAAGTAGGACCGAATGAGTTAAACATTCTCTGCACATAAACACTCAACCAACCAACTAATGTTAGTTAATTTAGTTGGACTAAACAAATGTGCTAAATTATCTTTGGGCATGTACCCTCCAGGCATTTTATTTGCTATGTCTGGTCCCTTATTGCCCACATTTTAATCTTTGTTGCTTGTTAAGCAAAAATTTATTTTACGAATATTGCACTTACACCATTCTGTATCTTTCAGGTTGGAGGTGAACGTAATGTACTTATTTTTGATTTGGGAGGTGGTACGTTTGATGTATCTATTCTTACAATTGAAGATGGTATATTTGAAGTAAAGTCTACAGCTGGTGATACTCATTTAGGAGGTGAAGATTTTGACAATAGAATGGTGAACCACCATGTACAAGAATTCAAACGTAAACATAAAAAAGACATTAGTGAAAACAAGAGAGCTGTTAGAAGGTTGAGAACCGCATGTGAACGAGCAAAGAGAACCTTATCATCTAGTGCACAGGCAAACGTAGAAATAGATTCTTTGTTTGAAGGAATAGATTTCTACACAACAATTACTAGAGCTCGGTTTGAAGACTTAAATGCTGATCTTTTTAGAGGTACTTTAGAACCAGTTGAAAAAGCCCTCAGAGATTCTAAACTTGAGAAAGCGCAAGTTCATGATATTGTCTTAGTTGGTGGTTCAACCCGTATTCCCAAAATCCAAAAACTTCTTCAAGATTTCTTTAATGGTAAAGAACTGTGTAAAAGTATCAACCCAGATGAAGCTGTAGCTTATGGTGCAGGTATGTATTTTTTTTACACCCACATTTTTATGTGGACGTATATTATCGTCTCGCTTGCCACAATTTGTGGACACTCTACAGGTCACAATTTTGACAAAACTTGAAATATACCGGTTTATCTCCCATAGATCTTGGTTCCTTTTCAAATCGGCATGTATCGAATCTTAACTTTATGGATTGTACAAAAAAATCATGTTTGTAGCTTGTGGACCTTCTAGGTCATAATTTTCATCCGATTTGAAAAAGTGTTTAACCCTTGTCGGTGCACGTGGGGTCTCCGTGGACCCCATGCACATGTTTTATAGTGTTGTGTAATAACTACTGGTCATTACTTTCTGAAATTTAGTGACTTTGTCTCCTATACATTTTTACACGTAGCGAGGAGTTCTGTATTCATCTGCTTCCCACATGCAGAGTTCTGTTACATGCAAATCAGGCCCAACGCTTGAAGATAACAACTCAACCTAGGGATTTTGCTAATGTGTTTGCTGCCTGATACCATATTGCGTATGCCAGAGTATTCTCTCTTTTAGCATATGCATGTTACAAATACCAAAAATTAAATGAATTCAAGATATTCAATGGTTTTTGTATCAAGCGTGAATTGCCATTTTAACCTCTTTATCACATAGTACACAAAGTAGCAATTTTGTGAGAATTATTAAATTTTTTCCAAATGTCACTAAAATGTTTTTGTAAAATAATTTAGTTGTTTTTCAGTTGTCAAATATGAAGGCAAATAAAAACTAAACCGCTGCCTTTTAATTCAAATATATCTGTACGTAAAAACTTTGAATTATAACTGGGGTCCATATGGACCCCTGATACCTGCTATGTGATTCTCATAACGTGAACCCACAAGGGTTAAATATATCAATGTTGACCCTAATGATAGAATTTGAATTTAATATTTGGTTATTTGGAACAATCCATTGACATGCATGGTTTTTAAGGCCATCGTTCGCACTTCATTTGGTGAATTTTAACAATAAAATTGTTTTTGAGGTTTTATGATTATCTGCGAGTAACACTATCGAGGAACACATACCAGTCATTTTTTTTTCACAAAATTCCTTATTTCTACAAAATTTGGTTCTGAATGATCCACCCTTTTTTATTTTGCCCTAACTCTGCTAAACTATTGATATAAATCTAAAAACAATAGACATTTCATACGTGAAATACTCCGCTTCCGACCAGTAAACTATCGCCATGTTGGATACTGTTAGAAAGCTTGGGATTTCCCCTATTGAAAGGAAATGACGTTTTTTGGGGGTGTCTTGAAACCTTTCCTCTGTATTGAGATAAAAATAGCAAGCAAGAACAAGTTTTGCATACCTAATGAGGTTATTTCGAGAATACGTTATTTGATTGGTCGGTCACAGGTCAATGGTGAAGTGTCCAATCAGAAGCAGACAATCCTCTAGGTCAGGTCAATAGGCATGCGCACTAAGCTCGTGTCCCATATCAATCCTGGTTGCTATATTACTGAACCATACGTCATTGTTTATCAATATTTTTGAAGATTTTCAAATATAATGCCTTTGAAATTGTTTAGATGACTAAATAAGTATGACAGACACTCATAATAAACAAAATAAAGATGAATATTCGTCTGCTAGACATAGTAGTGGTATGGTTGCAATACCATTACCAGGTAGGCCTACTGTCGGTGATTATATAGTTATGGTTGTTTTGAATAACATCTATTCCTATGTCAAAGTTTGGTTGTAAATTTACACACAAGAAATAAAATAAGAAAATACTGTATATTGATAAGAAATACATTAGAAAATATATATATTAAGTCAGTTTATTAATATTAGATAAATGGATTGAACAGATCGGTGTAAGTTGTTCTAGTGTTCACTGAAATACTTCAACTTCAGTTGTTGATTTCTCAAAACAGTTTTTTTTCTAGAGTTACCAATTGTAGTCATGCTATATCTCTGAAAGTTATCGTCAGATTTTCTTGAAACTTGGAATATAACTTCCTTTATAATAACTTTGTGCAATAGGAGAATTTTATTGAAATCTGCAAAATAGTTCCTGATATACTGTTGCCATAGCAACTGTGACATGTGAAATAATTTTGAAGTTAACATTAAAATGTGTATAACTTGCTTTCTAATTATTATTTTGTAATGAAACTTGCCTATTGCACAAAGGAACATGTCAGTAACCTCACTGCTTAATTTTAAAACATTCTGTTGAATAGTTTCTGGATGACTAAAATTATACGCAGAAATCCAAGATGGCCACCGTTTCCATAGCAACAGGTACCCCTAGGAAAATTTTTTGGCCGTTTTTGTAATACTCAATGGATGTGTTCTTAGATGTGTAAGAATGATGACTTTACCTCAATTATTAAAAGTAGAAAATTTCAGTTTTTTTAGCCCCACAAAACGTTTTTTTCCCAAAAATCAATATCTTGCATCCGCAGTTTATCGCCTCTTCCATACGTGCTAGGTATTAGTATTCTACGCATCCTGGCTAAAAATTTAATTTTTTAAAACACAGGAACAGTGCTTGCGAAGTTAGCCTATTTTGGGGCGTGTCTGGCAGTGGTCATTCATGACTCCTGTGGTGGCACTGAACAACTCCAAAGCTGTTTTTAGGTGGTACAGATTTGAGCTAATCTAGCCTAGCTTTGGTCTAAATATTAGACAACTCTTGTCGGGGTCATGGCATTTAGGGCGTGGAATACCACACCCACCACCAGAAACCCGGCAGACTTATATTCTGATGATACCAGATATACATACATTGATACAAGGGCTGAAACGATACGCTAAGCCACGATACGATACTCTGTTTTTTAACCACCTTAGGATGCGAATGCATCACGATCCACGTCTTCTTTTCTGTAAAATTGGATTGGGTTCTAATTAAACTTAATAAAAAAACTCAAATTTGTTAATTAACTTTATTATTCATTTTGTAGATACACATAATAAATAAACAAAAATATAACCATTGTCTTTGGCGCTTAAAACCAGCATTGGCTAGTATAGTGGTAACTGGGTGAATGTCAATTTATATAGATAAAACAACAAGTATGTCTGGTCATTCTTATGCTAGATAATACGCAGTTTGATTAATTGTATACAAAAATAACAACTAAACATTGTAGAACTGCATTTCAGTTCCTCAAATCCTGAAAATTAGTTCACATTTCTAGTTTCACTAAAACTGTACTAGTAACCGTTAAGTAAATTGGTAATCCAACAATGAAACATTTTTATACGCCCACATTTTCATGTGGACGTATTATGCCGTCGCCCCTGTCTGTCTGTCCGTCCACAATTTGTTTGTGGACACTCTACAGGTCACAATTCTTATCCGATTTTAACGAAACTTGAAATATAGGTTTATCTCTAAAAGATCTTGGCTGCTTTCGATATTGGCATGTATCGGATCGATACTTAATGGATTATGGCCCCTGTTTGTACGAAAAATCACGTTTTTGGCTTGTGGACCCTATAGAGGTCGCAATTTTCGTCCGATTTCGTTGAATCTTGAAATGTAAGTTTATAACCCAAAGATCTCGTTTTCTTTCGATACTCGCACATATCGGACCGTAACTTCCTGAAATATGGCCCCTGATTGTACGAAAAATCGCATTTTTAGCTTTTGGACCCTGTAGAGGTCATAATTTTTATCTGATTTAAAAAAACGTATTATTATATCACCGTTACACCGTAAGGATGACTGAGTTCGAATTTCGTGAAAATCGGCCTAAAATTGACAGACAAAATGGCTGCCGTTTGTTCTCTAATAGCCTAAAAATATGGTATTCTCAAATAGCGTAAAAATATGGTATATCAAGGTTGTGGATCCTATATAGGTCACAATTTTTATCCGATTTTGTTGAAACTTGAAAGGTAAGTTTATAACCCAAAGATCTCGGTTCCTTCGATATTCGCGCATATCGGACCGTAACTTCCTGAATTATGGCCCCTGATTGTATGAAAAATCGCCTTTTTAGATTGTGGATCTGTATGAAAATGTCTATTAAATGCCCCTAATTACCTACAAAAGAATAAATATGCGACAACCGTTGTCGACAGCTCGGATGATTTTGTTGCCTAGCAACCTATCTTTTCACTTTATTGTACCTTGTGAACGCTCTAAACGCCCAAAGTTATCATCTGATCTTGATGAAATTTATATGCATTATTTAAATTGGTGAAAAGATGCCTATTGGATTTCGGCAATTTCCAGTAATTACTTCTAGAGTTATGGCCCTTGTTTCACCTTCCACAGGCTCAAAACCTGTTTTTATACGCCCACATTTTCATGTGGACGTATTATGCCGTCGCCCCTGTCCGTCCGGACGTCTGTCCACAATTTGTTTGTGGACACTCTACAGGTCACAATTCTTATCCGATTTTAACGAAACTTGAAATATAGGTATATCTCCAAAAGATCTCGGCTGCTTTCGATATTGGCATGTATCGGATCGAAACTTCATGGATTATGGCCCCTGTTTGTACGAAAATCAGGCTCAAAACCTGTTTTTATACGCCCACATTTTCATGTGGACGTATTATGCCGTCGCCCCTGTCCGTCCGGACGTCTGTCCACAATTTGTTTGTGGACACTCTACAGGTCACAATTCTTATCCGATTTTAACGAAACTTGAAATATAGGTATATCTCCAAAAGATCTCGGCTGCTTTCGATATTGGCATGTATCGGATCGAAACTTCATGGATTATGGCCCCTGTTTGTACGAAAATCACGTTTTTGGCTTGTGGACCCTATAGAGGTCACAATTTTTATCCGATTTTGTTGAATCTTGAAATGTAAGTTTATAACCCAAAGATCTCGGTTCCTTTCGATATTCGCGCATATCGGACCATAACTTCCTGAATTATGGCCCCTGATTGTACGAAAAATCGCCGCGTTTTTAGCTTGTGGACCCTATAGAGGTCATGATTTTTATCCGATTTAAAAAACTGTATTATTATATCACCGTTACACCATAAGGACGACTGAGTTCGAATTTTGTGTAAATCGGCCCAAAATTGACAGACAAAATGGCAGCCGTTCGTTCTCAAATAGCGTAAAAATGTGGTATATCAAGGTTGTGGACCCTATAGAGGTCACAATTTTTATCCGATTTTGTTGAAACTTGAAATGTAAGTTTATAACCCAAAGATCTTGGTTCCTTTCGATATTTGGGGATATCGGACCGTAACTTCCTGAATTATGGCCCCTGATTGTACGAAAAATCGCGTTTTTAGCTTGTGGACCCTATAGAGGTCATCATTTTTATCCGATTTTAAAAAACGTATTATTATATCATCTTTACACCCCAAGGACGACCAAGTTCGAATTTCGTGAAAATCGGACCAAAAATGACAGACAAAATGGCCGCCCTTCGTTCTCAAATAGCGTAAAAATATGGTATATCAAGGTTGTGGACCCTATAGAGGTCACAATTTTTATCCGATTTTGTTGAAACTTGAAATGTAAGTTTATAACACAAAGATCTCAGTTCCTTTCGATATTTGCGCATATCAAATTGTAATTTCCTGAATTATGGCCCTTGATTGTAAGAAAAATCACTTTCTTGTTAGCTTGTTCTCTATCCATCTCTCGAAAATGTGGTCGTATCCTGCCTGGCAGCTGCTGGTTTGTTCAATTAGGTGCCATAATCCAGGAAGTTATGGTCCGATATGCACCAATATCGCAAGGAATCAAGATCTTTGGGTTATAAACACGCATGTTCTAACTGATGGAGAATGATGAAACATGGTATAGTCTCACTACCAGGTACTTGATTGTGAACATTTTATGGTTAGACTAATAAAGATAATCAATTTGATCAATCAATACTTTCCAAAAAGATAAATGTGCAATTAATTAAAGTGTCATCTGTTTATCTTGGGATTTGAACAGGGGACATCAGCCGCACCATTAGCTTGTTCTGGTCCACCTCTTGCAAAATGTTAGCGTATCTTGCATGTCAACTTCTTGTTTAACTAATGACTAGGTGTACATCTTTTAAGTTATTTAGTAGGAAGTTCAACCCCATTTCATTTAATACATATATTTTTTTTTTCCCCAGCTGTTCAAGCTGCCATTTTATCGGGTGATAAATCGGAGGAAGTACAAGATCTTCTATTGTTAGATGTTGCGCCTCTTTCCTTGGGTATTGAAACTGCTGGAGGTGTAATGACAGCATTGATTAAACGTAATACAACTATTCCTACAAAACAGACCCAGACTTTCACTACATATTCAGACAATCAACCTGGTGTACTAATCCAAGTGTATGAAGGTGAACGAGCAATGACCAAAGACAACAATTTACTTGGTAAATTTGAACTCAGTGGTATCCCACCAGCACCAAGAGGTGTGCCCCAAATTGAAGTAACGTTTGATATTGATGCCAATGGTATTCTGAATGTATCAGCTGTTGATAAGAGTACTGGTAAAGAGAACAAAATCACCATTACCAATGATAAAGGTAAGGTTAACCAGTGTGTGAAAAAAAAGAAAAAATCTTAATTGAATGTAACTAGAGTTGTAATGATGAAGTATCCAATGAACACGTTCGCAGTGCTTGTGAAGTCCGCCCTGGACTAAAGATGCTAGATATTTGGATGTCTGAACAATTCTATTATCAAGATACCACCATTGATTGTTGGCAGAATTAACCCTGCTATATTTCAGTTTTGGCATTCAAATAAACGTAGGTTTTTTTTTTTTCTCCCAACTTTCAAAAAAAGCAGGGGACCATTAAAATGTGTCTGTGTGTCATTCAAACTTGTGTAGGCGTTTATTAAGGGGAATGCCTTGATGGAGTTTGAAGATGAGAATTTTCTGCTTAGGGTAAGCAGAGATAAGCAATTTGATTAGTTCATGCTTTGGGACAATATAACTTTAGTTCTAATAAGTGAGATGAAATTTGGAGTATAGTTTCATTACATCAATACGTGGATGTCATTAGCAACCGGCAAATTTCCGGCTACTTTTCGCTTATCAGCAATTTAATTTTTGTACGCCCACATTTTCATGTGGACGTATTATGCCGTCGCCCCTGTACGTCCGGACATCCGACTGTCTGTCCGCCCGTCCTTCCACAATTGTTAGTGGACTCTCTACAGGTCATAATTCTTATCCGATTTTGACGAAACTTGAAATATAGGTTTATCCCCAAAAGATCTCGACTGCTTTCGATATTGGCATGTATCGGATCGAAACTTCATGGATTATGGCCCCTGATTGTAAGAAAAATCATGTTTTTAGCCTGTGGACCCTATAGAGGTCACAATTTTTATCCGATCTTGTTGAAACTTTAAATGTAAATTTATAACCCAAAGATCTCGGTTCCTTTTGATATTCGCGCATATCGGGCCGTAACTTCCTGAATTATGGCCCCTGATTGTACGAAAAATCACGTTTTTAGCTTGTGGACCCTATAGAAGTCATATTTATTATCCGATTTAAAAAAAGGTATTATATCACACTTACACCTGAAGGACGGTTGAGAACGAATTTCTTGAAAATCGGCCCAAAACTGACAGACAAAATGACCGCCCTTCGTTTTCAAATAGCGTAAAAATATGGTATATCAAGGTTGTGGACCCTATAGAGGTCACAATTTTTATCCGATTTTGTTGAAACTTCAAATGTAAGTTTATAACCCAAAGATCTCGGTTCCTTTCGATATTTGCGCATATCGGATCGTAACTTCCTGAATTATGGCCCCTGATTGTACGAAAATTCGCGTTTTTAGCTTGTGGACCCTATAGAGGTCATAATTTTTATCCCATTTAAATAACCGTACCATTATATCACCGTTACACCCTAAGGACAGCTGAGTTCAGAAAATTGACAGACAAAATGGCCGCCGTTCGTTCTCAAATAGCGTAAAAATATGGTATTTCAAGGTTGTGGATCCTAGAGGTCACAATTTTTATCCGATTTTGTTGAAACTTCAAATGTAAGTTTATAACCCAAAGATCTCGGTTCCTTTCTATATTCGCGCATATCGGATCGTAACTTCCTGAATTATGGCCCCTGATTGTACGAAAAATCGCGTTTTTAGCTTAAGGACCCTATAGAGGTCATAATTTTTATCCGATTTAAAAAAAGGTATTATATCACACTTTCACCCGAAGGATGGTTGAGTTCGAATTTCGTGAAAATCGGCCCAAAACTGACAGACAAAATGGCCGCCCTTCGTTTTCAAATAGCGTAAAGATATGGTATATCAAGGTTGTGAACCCTATAGAGGTCACAATTTTTATCCGATTTTGTTGAAACTTCAAATGTAAGTTTATAACCCAAAGATCTCGGTTCCTTTCGATATTCGCGCATATCGGATAGTAACTTCCTGAATTATGGCCCCTGATTGTACGAAAATTCGCGTTTTTAGCTTAAGGACCCTATAGAGGTCATAATTTTTATCCGATTTAAAAAAAGGTATTATATCACACTTACACCCGAAGGATGGTTGAGTTCGAATTTCGTGAAAATCGGCCCAAAACTGACAGACAAAATGGCCGCCCTTCGTTTTCAAATAGCGTAAAGATATGGTATATCAAGGTTGTGGACCCTATAGAGGTCACAATTTTTATCCGATTTTGTTGAAACTTCAAATGTAAGTTTATAACCCAAAGATCTCGGTTCCTTTCGATATTCGCGCATATCGGATAGTAACTTCCTGAATTATGGCCCCTGATTGTACGAAAATTCGCGTTTTTAGCTTGTGGACCCTATAGAGGTCATAATTTTTATCCCATTTAAATAACCGTACCATTATATCACCGTTACACCCTAAGGACGGTTGAGTTCGAATTTCGTGAAAATCGGCCCAAAATTGACAGACAAAATGGCCGCCGTTCGTTCTCAAATAGCGTAAAAATATGGTATGTCAAGGTTGTGGACCCAATAGAGGTTACAATTTTTATCTGATTTTGTTGAAACTTGAAATGTAAGTTTATAACCGAAAGTACAGCTAATTAATATGCACATATGTCACCATTTCTTTACTATATAGAATTTTGCAGTGAAAATGCTTACTTAAGGGTTCCTCATGCTGATCTCTTTGAAAAAAAACATTATTTTTTCTCTCTGAACATTCCAATTGCTACTTTTGGTTACCATGGCAACAAAATTGCGTTTTTGTTAATACAGCTGTGCAGTGCATGGGTAATCTGGTAAAACCATACTGATTCATTTTTAGAAGTACTTTGACTAAGGATATAAACGGTTAACCGGTCACGGTTCAGTTGCACTGTTAAACCGGTTAAAAAAATTACTAATCGATATTCGTTTTCATATGATACCCGACCTTTAAACCGAGGAATGATAGCCACAACATTGTTTTCTTGACCACATAAATATTTTAAATAGCACTTAGTCATTTGTAATAAGTCTCGGGAAGTTGATGTCTTTAAATTCCCGCTCAAAGTTTTGACATTTGTGTATGTTATTAGCACTCACTGCCAAGCATTAAATAGCCTCAACTGATTGTCAAATTAATTGTTTTACAGTATTAACCTCATCACTCCACAAAGTCTCAAAATGAAACAAGTATGATGTGATGAAATAATATTAAAATTGAGAGGATATAATTGTAAAATTGTTTATATTATCACTTGAGTGCTTGATGCTGTGGGATCAAAGTTGACATACGGGTCATTGGTACCACACATACAGCATGGCTTGTGATAGCAACAGGTGTAGTAAATTCTTTGGAATTAGCTGATGTTGAATAATCAAACCTATTTTATATTTAAAAATCCAAAGGTATACTTTCAAATATTGATTTCATAACTAATCTTATGAAGTATTAGTGAAGCTTTTTTTTTTTTTTTTTTTTTTTTTTTTAAATAAAAATCAACATTTCAATTCAACTGGTCTATACTCATTACATGACCTGTCAGCAGGCACAAGATGGAGAAATGAAACATCAAGAATGAATGAATGAATGGACTTTGTACTGACTGTTAACTTAAAATCTGTAATACTAATAATTTAAAAATATATTATTAAGTAAATAAAATAAAACAAAGTACGAACAATCCAAACCATTAGACAAAATTCGAAGTCCTAAAAAAACGGTATAGGCAAAATGGTGTAATACGGCAAAATAGTGTAATGTCTTATTTTGGTGCAACAAATATTTTGATAGAAAATTTTTATGGGTTAACCGGTTACAGTTGGGTTTTAACGACTAGTTAACCGGTTCAAGAATTTTTGAACCGTTACATCCTTAACTTTGACCATGTTTGAATTAACCTTAACATTTAAACATATAAATATTTAAATATATAATTTATCAGATTTTAGTAAAACATAACTTGATAAATAATAGTAACATTAAGTTAACTGTGTATCAGTTAAACTATTTACAAATCTATCTACATTTTGTATGCTCACACACATTCATCAATACAAATTTTAATGTAAAAAAAATCACATTTCCATTACTTTTTATATAGAAATTGAAAAACGCGCGCTATTGTCGGCTAAGATTTATTAAAATCGTAATCATTTGAATGATATGTCAAATCGCGTGACGTCAGAGCGTTTTTTTCCCGCGAGCGTCTCCTGTAAACAAACGGTAATTTTGCTAACATTTCGATAATTTTTTTTAGCCTAAATCTTTGCAGATATTGAGATTGATATTAAACTATTACAATTCAATTGCTAGTAATGCATTTACATAAAATAGTAATTCAGAATCGTAGATTGAAGTGGGCTATATTTCAGCCGGTGGCTGTCCGATTTCACGCTAAAGTCACGTGACCTGAAACCCCTATTTATAGATGTTATATCTGCAGGAGTCCATCCAGAAATTCTGTATAGCGTCTGTCGGAACGTCAAATTCCGGGGAACTTCTTACTGACGTCATGGGACACCCCACTCCATTTACGGGAATTCTGCTAATGTTCGATTTGATATGCTAGCTTTATTTTCGTATAAGAAAGTTTAAATCAAGGCGAACAAGGTTTGAATTCTTTGACGCAACGGAAAAATATTTTAAAGTTTTCTAAGAAGTATTTAGCGATGAAAATAGTAATTTTATTCAACCACAAGGTCATTATTAAAAAATACGAAACTACCGCTAAACATTGATATCAAAATATTTATTGTTTGTGTTTTGAAACATCCCCGGAAAAGACCCCGAACTTGGATTACAACGATGAATAAATAAATATTTTGACGGCGTTTTTTATTTCTTTGATAACCGGAACGTCACAGACTTTTTTCAAAAGCCGTTAAAAGTATTAAAACCTATCCACATACCTTTTTTCTCTCAAGGAAACCTCATTTTGTTTGCGGTGGTTACAAAAAACGTAACTTATGATTTTCATAGGCCCATTGTATTTGTGGGGAAAACCATATTTTTTTTCTTTTTCTTAGACAACAAAATGGCGGCATATGGCACACCTAATATCATTAGAAAGATAAATGAACGATCTTTCACTATGTCGATCTTTCACTATGTCGGGG